GGCTCTGTCTTTAAAGGTGGGGTAAGCGATTTTTCAAAAACGCTTTAGAAAACTGATTCGGGCCGACTAGCAAAACAAACTTGTAGCCAATCAGCAGTAAGGGGCGTGTCTACTCATGATGTGGAGGAGAGAGCGTTCAGTGCACAGTACGGACATTAGTGAGCCGAGCGAAAGATAGAGATGGCGGATAAAAAAACAAAAGAGGAAAACGTCTGCGGAACAAAAGAAGGCTTAAGGCAAGAAGTAGGACCCGTGTAAATATCGGATCAGCTTTCCAGTGCTGGAGAGCGGAAGGCCTGTGATCGGACGCCGAGGTTACTTTGTTTCTTCTCGATAGGTGAGTAGCTGTTGCGGCGCAGACACGGTGTTAAAGTCTGTCTAGTACATTGGACGCGACAAAGCGACCATTGAAAATCATTTGAAATTTGTGTCAATACGTTATGAATAGAACGCAGCAGCAGTTTTCTGTCGGGGATTTGTCGTGTCGTGCCGTATATATATATAATTGCGAAATCCCAAAAGTTTGGGATTGGTCAGATTTTTTTTTTTTTTTTTGAAAGAAGTCTCTTATGCTCGCCAAGGCTGCATTTATTTGAAAATACAGTAAAACAGTAATATTGTGAAGTATTATTAATATTGTTTTAATTCATTATACCTTTCATATATTTAAAAAAAAATTGTGTGATTGCAAAGCTGTATTTTCAGTAGCCATTACTTCAGTCTTAAGTGTCACATGGTCCTTCAGAAATCATTCTGATAAGCTGATTTTATGCTCATTTCTTATTATCAATGTTGAAAACAGTGCTGCTTAATATTTTTTGTACAAACCTTCATACATTTTTTCAGAATACTTTGATAAATATAAAGTTCAAAAGAACAGAATTGAATTTAAAAAGATTTTTTTCTTTAAAAAAATAATAATTAAATAATTTTTTGAATGGTAGTGAACGTTTGGCCAGTGGATTCTTCCCAAATCTCACTGTAGTGTTTAAGCTTTCAAAGAGCAGCTTTTCTCTTCTCAGTGAGCCTAAGCTGACTTAATTTTTCATTGGGTATTATTCACTCTTGTTTTTCGTTTCTTTTGTCGTCTTTTATTTATTTCCAACTTTTTCCTCACTCTGTTCCACGAGCATATGGAGAGGCAGGCAGTGCTAAATAATGCACGCCCCCCGCTGCAGCTGGCAGACTTCTTCAATCATGTGTGTGCTTGCCCGTTACGTGCACACTCATAGCTTTGTGTTGCTTTCTTGCAAGTAAACTTTCGTCCCTGTAGTCTGACTGTCTCTCTTTGCTCATCACTTAATAATCACACAGGTAACGTCTCTTATAACACAGAAGGTGTCAGACAACTGAATTTTGCTTAAGCCCGGCAGTTGTCATCTCAAAAATGTTCTGAATGTGCGATCTGCAGTTGCTACCTGTTAGAGAATGGAAAATAGAGGTCAAAGATTTTCTGACCTCACTTAAATGTGAAATACTTCATAAAGGGACAAAATCACAGACTGACATCTGATTATTGTGTTTCTTTTAGAAACTGGCTGTGCTGAAGGATGGTTTCCAGTTAGATTATGGCTCTCAGTCTGACTTGTGGGCCAGCAATCTGTCCTTGGCCAACTCAAACCTCTCTCTCCCCCGCCACTACTCAGACGCCGAGTCTCAAACAGATGTACCTGCCGAGGTGAGAGACGGCCTTCAGCGCTGAGTTTTACTTGGTTGTAAATGATGAATGACTGTGGTGTTTTTTTTAGTGGTTTCACAATGTGCAAGTCATTTGTTGGGAAAAATGTCTTTTATAATTTCAGAGATTTAAAAACTATTTTTTTATTCTTTTTGATTTAGTTTGTATCAAACTCAAATAAACTGGCTGAGAAGGTACGACTGAGCCTGAAATATGAGGAAGCAAAAAGAAGGTATGTGTTTTTCTTATGAATTTTCTCCTAAATTATTAGTTTTTAACTAGTGGTCAATCAAGTTTTTCAATCAGGGATGCCATTATTTGCAGAACAAGAGGACTGACGGTTGATATAATGTGGAAAAAAAATTATATACTGTATATCACCCAGAAGTTTGATAACATATTGAAAATCTGGGATCCAAAATATAATCTAAACCTAGAAATAAACTAAAAGTTTTAGAAAATTGTAAAGCCAAGAACTAAGGACACAAAATGAAAGGAAGGAAGAAAGAGAAAGAAAGAAAAAGAAAAAAAGAAAATGTATGAATAAAATATTTAAGCTTTTGCACAATTTTTAAATCACTTATCAAATAATCAAAAGGGCAACATTCCAAATTCTAAGAAGTCTCTTATGCCCACCAAGGCTGCATTTGTTTGATCAAAAATACAGTAAAAACCATAAAAATTGTGAAAAGTTACTTGTACAAACAATTTATAATAACAGTTTTGTATTTATAATATATTCTGAAATGTAATTTAGGATGTACGAATTTAAGGAGCTGTCCCTGGAACTTACGTGATCGGCAACCGGCCGTTTTTTGTCTTATTGCAAGCAACTCGTCTCGTCTCGTCTCGTCTCTGTTCTGGACTTGCACAAACTGCGTTGCAATGCAATCGTTTTCCAAAATGTCATTTATGTGAAAATATGAAGTCTGTAAACGCCCGTTAACACAGGCCAGAGACGCTGAAGACGGACGCACAGAGAAAAATACTGTAGCAGGCAGATCACTCACTGTTCATGATGCACAAACTATTGGAAGAAAATCCTTAATATTGATCTGGGGGGGTTTATATGAATGTGTTTCTGAGGGGAACTGACTGTCTTCAGAAAAGTTTACGTGGTATTTTCTTTTAATCTCATCTCTGTATAATTCACATTAAAGCAGTGTTTCAGCGCAGTGCTGCTTTGTTTACAGCGGTAACCAAGGAAATGCCGTATCTGGTGTTCCAGAAGCGCCTCCCGCTCTCAGAGAGTGAATATGTGCGTCTCATTCAGAGCATCTGCTGTTTGTTTCGTTCAGGCATGTAGTATAATTTCACAAAGCTAGTCAGAACATTCTGTTTTTGCTTCAAATTGGGTTATTATTAAATCAAATTATGTGTATGAAATTATTTAACTAAATGATATGAAATGATATAAATGATATGTGTATGAATTATATGACTAAAATTAAATAACTGTAATTACAGATTTAGGTTAAATAAAGATGTCAGTCTTTATTTTTCTTCTTTTTAGGAAACAAATCAAAGAAAAAATAAACAAATTCTACTGTTCCTAATATTCTGTATGCTGCTCAAAAACAAAATATATTGTGTTCAGCGGAAATGTGTTTTTTTTTTTTTTTACCCAGTCATTTAAAAATAACACATTTTAGTGTTTCACGACAATACCGTGAAACCATGATATTTTTGCTTAAGGTTATCATACCGTCAAAATCTCATACCGGTACATGCCTAATTGTCAATTAAAGGTAAAATCAGAAAACTAAAATTAACTATTAATTGAATAATACTGGTAATACTACAAAACACTTCTATTATTAATGTCACCTGTAATAAATGAAGAAATATTTGAAAAATTAAGTTGAAATAATTAAGAAATGCAACTTATATTTTTCTTTTTAATAGTTAACTGTATTTTAATGCATTTAGATTAGTATCAATTTCATTTAAATTGCATTAATGTTTACAGAAAAATGCATAATAATAATGCATGAATAATAAATAAAACAATCCACATAATTCAAAAATAAACTAAAAAAAAACAACCGTCAAAATCTCATACCTGCCCATGCCTAGTGCCTATAGTAGAGTAAAGAAAACAAAGCAAATAATAATAAAATTTCCTTTCTTAAAAAAAATGGTGTAAAGGCTGAAATGTTTCATTTTATAAAACTTTTTGTTTTTGTGAAAACCTGTATGGGAACTGTAAATCATGCTTTTACAGTCATTTTAATTTTATTTGTGCAGGTCTTAAAAAAGGACTTAAAGGGGTCATATGACGTTGCTAAAAATAACATTATTTTGTGTATTTGGTGTAATGCAATGTGTTTATGCGGTTTAAGGTTAAGAAAATATGTTATTTTCCATATACAGTACATTATTATTATAATGATATATATACTGTCTTTTTACGCGTTGCATTGCGTATCCCACTGCGTAAACAAAACCATGTATGCATTTGTGATCGGAGAAACAACAAGCCTACTCTACACTGCTCAAAACTCGCGTTTGAATCATCAGTGGCAAATTGCAGATTAATCAATCATGATCAAAGCAATAAAGTAAAACAACCAATAGGAATTGTTTCAGCGTGGTAACGCAGCAAAATGTATTTAGTTTTATTGTTGTTAATGATGATAATATTTTAACACATACCTTTAGATTTTAGAATGTTTCATGATCAATATACTGTAAAATGCTAGTAAAATAATAATAATGATGTTAAATAATTTAATAATATTAATTTAAAAGGCAGAAATTTATTTTGTATGCTGTTGAAGACATTAAGTTGATTCAACATACAGATCTTGTAAAAACAATTAACGTTGATTTACAAGTGTTTTTGTTAACCTTTTTCAACCATTTAGCATTAAACATTTTTCAACCATATTTCAACATTGAAGGTTGGTCATGTGCCGGCTGGGAAGCATCAAAAACCAATAATTGATCACCAAATCACAATATTAAAATGATTTCTACAGGGTGTCCGCGGGCCCTTAAAAAGTCTTAAAATGTCTTAACGTTTTCCTAATATAAGGCCTTAAAAAGTCTTAAAATGTCTTAAATTCG